AACAACTTACAAGCACGTGTCAGTGGGGTCAATTGTTGTGTTTAACGTTTTACCCATTATACAATCTTGAAAAGCATTTAGTTTGGAGAACTTTGCTTGGCATTCTTCCATTGCTTTACCTTCTGCAAACCAAATGTATACAAGTCTCGGAAATTAGTATTCTTGTCAATTCATGTAAGGCTTTTAAATATGAAACATTATATGTTATATATATTTTGCATGTTATTTTATACTTATTCAAGTTCAAACTCTGACTGAAGCGTTGGCATTTACCTTGATTGAAAACTAGTCAGGGACTTTGAAGTCTTTCACGTGAGGAAGCTATCCAGCAAGCTTACAGAACATCGGTGGTTCTACTCAGGTGCCGGTTTGTGCCTTAAATTTTGCACTGAAGGGCACCTGAGGTCTTCTTCCACCAGTAAAGCTGGAAAGACGCCATATTACCTATACATATACCGTGTTGGTGCGAAGGCAGTAACATTTTCTTTATTATTCGAAAACAAAAATAATAATAAGATATCATGGTCACAATAATGGAAAACTAAAATAAAAATAAACATTCAATTAAAAAAGAAGCAATATTATACTTTCAGAACAAAACACGGCAGTGTGTGTTTCATAACTCTGTATATCTTTGTCTACCGAGGAACGGTTGAAGTCAGTGCTGTTTTTACACATGGCATATACCGTGCGTAAACAAGTCTGCAATCCACGGCTCCTTTCACTATAATTCATAAATGTAATAATAAGTAAATAGTAACCATGAAATATAATAATAAATAGAATATACATACAAAATCATCTCCGAGAAGATCTATTATCGTACATAGAAATTCAGCTTCTAACTAAAAGCATGAAATTTCGACTGTAAGATCGTTATTCAAGTAACTGTAACTTTTTTATTTGCTATAAATCATTATGTGGAGTTTGACACGTATTTATTAGATGTTAAGATTTGAGCCGCGTCACGACAAAACCAACATAATGGGTTTGCGAACAGCATGGATCCAGACCAGCCTGCGCATCCGCGCAGTCTGATCAGGATCCATGCTGTTCGCTATCAGTTTCTCTCTACTTGTAATAAGGATGGCAAGCGAAAAGCATGGATCCTGATCAGACTGCGCGGATGCGCAGGCTGGTCTGGATCCATGCTGGTCGCAAACCCACTATGTTGGTTTTGTCATGACGCGGCTCATTTGTTATGATCGTCAATTTATAATATCGATTAAGATGACCTCAATTTCGGACATGAAACAATTTATTAGACTTAGTTTAAATTGGTTTAGTTTAAACATAATTATCTAAAGTCGGCTGTGAAACTTTTCTTTTCAATTGCATCAATGATTTTCGAATTCGCTGTCTGAAAAATGACCAGAACTGGTAACATTATAATGAGGAAACATCGCTGTGATGTGTTACGGGTTCGAACCCATGCCTAGGAGTTTAGAGGCAGACATCTTGATCACTTGGCCACCACTCCCCTTACTTTCAGATGTACACAAAAAGTCTTTTTGTTAACGCCCTGTCCCTTTTCGAAAATAGTAGATCAACTGATCAGTACTTTATTTCTTATTCACACTGGAAAAGATATTTTCAGAATTGTACAAACATTCTTTTTTTAGATTTTTAAAGCGATGATATCGAGGATTTAGGTAAACCTACCTGCATATAAAGTCGGCAAATTCGCTAGAGTTACTGGTCACTGGCGGGGGCTTATAAGCAACAAAGCATGCTCGCTCCATGTCTTTATCACATACTATAACCTCCTCAACAGTTTCTTAAAATAAATAAATAAATACAAAGAAATAAATAATCTTATTATCCATAGAATTATCTTTAATCTTTACAATTATTCTCATATGTAAATCGATAACATTTAATTTCAGGTTAATTCCTTTAACTCAATGTCTCCGACTTCTTTCAAAGGACCTGCGAATCTAGTTCAGTTCTTTTACTATTAACTAACGTTTGGGTAGCCATTGTCGAATACCCGGTATATATTCCGTACATACTCCATGATTATCCACGGTATATATTCCTGATACATACTCCATGGTTACCCGCGGTATATATTCCGTATACATACTACATGGTTACCCACGGTATATATAGTCCGTACATACTACATGATATGTACGGAATATATGCCATGGATAACCGATACTGTAGTATGTACGGAATATATACCGTGGGTAACCGATAATGTAGTCTGTACGGAATATATACCGTGGTTAACCGAAAATGTAATATGTACGGAATATATACCGTGGCGGGAAGCCGGTGGTTCCATCAATGTTTCTACCCATGCCTGAATTTGGACAATTTGCTTTACCATAGCATCTTAAAATATCTTTAAGCAGCATGTCTACATATTCAGACCAAATTTATGAAAACTTAGTGGTATTCGCAGAAATATTTGGCTTTCGGAGCAAAACTCTGGGAATTGAAACAACTTTTAAGAATTTGATTTTATACTAATTTTATGCAAGTATGGAGTGGAGAATCATAAAATCATACCAAGTTCATCAATATTACAATTCTTTAAACTGTCTTCAGAAGATTCCACGAACGTTTTTACAAAACTAGGACACATGATTTTCGTGTATTTATACGAACAACCAAATGACGTCTGCAGAAATCTTGAAATATGAAAAATAATCATGTATCATTTTGTTTTGCACACTAGGATTACAGACTTTTCTTCTCATCTTTCTGCGTAGATGCATAATAACATTAAGTGATAGCAGATAAACTAAAGTTCTGAATTTTTGATGGACGAAAAGTACTTAAAGGTAATCATGAATATATTTAATAATAATAATAATTATTAAATAAAAATAAATATAATAATAATAATAATAATAATAATAATAATAATAATAATAATAACTCAAATAAATTGAGTGTTTTTCTAAAACTTATGATTATATTTTTAAAAGTTTGTTTTCGTAAACATTTTGTCCCGTTGAAAAACAATGCACCATACCCGCATGTATCAGTAAAGTCTATGGTCTTGTTGAGAGTTGTACCAGTCACGCAATCCACAAATCCAAGAACTTTGCTGAACATGGTTTGACATTGAAGAAGCTTTTCAAACTCTGAAAATGGTAGAAAAGTAGAGTTTTTTTCATTTACTATAAAGGGTTGTGGTACACACGATAAAAGTTGACTTCTTTGTGTTTTCGATTTGAAGACCCGCCAGTTAGATACTAGTTTTTATTAGTTAGTTTCATTTTATTTCTAGTAATATAGGTCTCGGGCCCAAAATACTAAGTACAACAATACAATCAAACAGTAGAGTGATAAATTGCAAATACATTTGTAACTAGATGTAATTAATTGAATTTGTAAATGATTATACAGTATTTAGCACTTCCTTTCTTACATTCATTGCATAATATATATATAGTAACAGATATTACTTCATTTGTTATTGTTGATGTCATGAGAGAATAAAATAAATGGTGGGAATGGTGATGTAACCATGTATCTTTAAAATAGACAGCTCTGATATTGTTATATAGTTTGAATTCATGGAAAAAATGATATTCATCCTCAATAACATAATATTTGTCTTAAGGCAATGAAAGCAATATCTTGAATCTCTATCTATTCCAATATGTCTACCTTTCGCTATCATAAGATTATGACATGAACAGCGAATATTAGAAAAAGCTCTTCTTGACTTATATGCTAAATCTAAACTTAAATATTGTTCAAAATTAAGTAAAGTCTTACAGTACTCGTAATGTAATGCTTTTGGAGAAGAATCAACAACATTATGCCAGTTTTGTGAATAACAATCAAATAAGCGTTGCTTAAACATATTAATGAAATTTAAGTCATCACCGACATCATGAGAGATCCATACGTATCCAAAACCAAATTGAAAAAGCATATCTTTAATGTTGCCAGCCCATGTTTTCCGTCCAGATTCGTGTAGTCGTTTTAACATCAAATAACAATGTTTTGGGTACCTATGATCTCCCATACGTGTCAGTTTTAACCAGTATTTAACACAATTTGTCATATAGATAGTACAGAGAGGTAATCTTCCACATTCACCAAGAGCATAATAGCTTGTTATATTTTGTGACAAGTTACAATATTGTTTTCAGAATTTAACTTGTACAGATTCAATCTTATCAACATAATTATAACCCCAGATTTCTGACGCATAAAACAATATAGATTTTACCATTGAATCAAAAATTTTGAACATATCAATAGGATCAATGTGACCAAATTGTCTTTGAAAATTGAATATACAAGCAGAAGCTTTAAGTCCTTGTAGTGCAAGCATCTCTTGTGTTTTAGACCATACTAACTTTGGTGTGAAAAATACACCTAAATATTTGTAAAATTGAACAACTCCAATATATTCATTATTAAACAACCATTTTTCAGTTTGTTTCAAAACACCGCCATTTCTAAAAACAATAATTTTTGTTTTACTTAAGTTTATCTTCATCTTTATAGATTTACAAAAATCTTCAATATAATTTATTTGTTGCTGTAGATTTACAACGGTGTCAGAAAAGCTAGACACATCATCAGCAAACATAAGAGCAATTAACTCTTCAATTTAATTGGATACAAAAATACCTCTATTACATTTTTCATGCAGAAAAGTAACTAGATAATTTATGAAAAGTGAAAAAAATTATCGGACTTCCAACACAGCCCTGCCTTGTTCCAGTATTACATGAGAAGAAGCTTGTAAGTTTGTCATCAACTTTAACACGTGATTTAAGTTTTGCATAAATAGATTTTATTATCATTAAAAATTTTCCATTGATCTTAATTATTTCTAGAAAAGCGTCCCATAATTTTTGATGCTGAATACTGTCAAAAGCTTTGGCAAAATATATGTATATACAATAGAATCTACCCCGTTTCTTCGATAAGTACTTCTTGATCAAAGACATTAGAGTAAAAATATTATCAATTGTTGAATAGCTTTTCCTAAATCCAGCCTGAGACTCATAAATTACATTATAGTTTTGACACCATTTAGTAAGACGAATAGTAAATATGTAAACAAATATTTTACATAGGGAATCTATTAAAGAAATACCTCGATAATTATTTGGATCTGATTTAGAACCTTTCTTATGTATTGGAGTGATAATACTATGACTCCATTCTTCATTTGAAAGAGCATTCAAAAATGGTAAAATTATATGAATAGAATGTTTGTACATTTCTAAGCAGATACCATCAGGTCCAGGCGATTAGCACGTAAATGATCTATACTTTGCATTATTTCTAGATCAGATATAGGAACGTTAATTTCGTCTCAATTTAAGTAATCACGATTCACATTGACCATGGGCTGCTAATCGATAGTTCTATTTTCCCCAGTTACAGGATTCAAGAGTAATTTAAAATAATCATACCATTCATTACATGTTATTAAAGAATCTACATTTTTTTTATTTTCTTTACTATAACCTTTTTTAAGAATATTCCAGAAATGTTTACACTTGCAAGCAACAGATTTTTGTGCAGAACCACAAAAAGAAAAATTCACGGAATCGGCTATTTTATCATTTCTTGCTAACCATTGTAAATGTATGTTCGTGAAGTTGGCAGCCTAGCAGCCTAACAGCCTGAAGTTGGCAGCCTGGCTGATAGGCTGCCAACTTCACGAACATTGTAAATGTCTAGCTTTATACAAGTGCATGATATGGATGATAATTATTTTAACATCTGGACTTTTTATTCTGTGTACATTATTTTTGTGGATATTGTTTTCTGCGTATATTCATTTTGTGGACTTAATATTCTAGGTTTTTTCATTCTTATGACTTGCTATTCTGCGCACAATTTTTCAGCGAACTTGAAATTCTGCATAATTTATGTCATTTCTGGGAATGGAATTGATATTCTGCGTAAATTATTTCTGGGGACTTGATATTTTGCGTCTGTCATTTCTGCGGACTTTATATACTGCGTATGCCATTTCTGTGGCCTTGATATTCCGCGTCTGCCATTTATGCGAACTTAATACTCGGCGTATATCATTTCTATGGACTTGATATTCTGCGTATATCATTTCTACGGACTTGATATTCTGCGTTTATCATTTATGCGAACTTAATATTCTGCGTATATCATTTATGCGAACTTAATATTCTGCGTATATCATTTCTATGGACTTGATATTCTGCGTATATCATTTCTACGGATTTGATATTCTGCGTATATCATTTCCACGGATTTGATATTGATATTCTGCGTTTGTCATCGTATGTCAATTCTATAGATTGATATTCTGCGTATGTCTGCACTTAATATTCTCTATGGATTTGATATTCTGCGTATGTCTTTTCTGCGGACTTGATATTGATATTCTGCGTTTGTCATTTCTGCGGACTTGATATTCTGCGTATATCATTTCCACGGATTTGTTATTCTGCGTATATCATTTCTACGGATTTGTTATTCTGCGTATATCATTTCCACGGATTTGTTATTCTGCGTATATCATTTCTGCGGACTTGATATTCTGCGTATATCATTTCTACGGATTTGTTATTCTGCGTATATCATTTCCACGGATTTGTTATTCTGCGTATATCATTTATACGGATTTGTTATTCTGCGTATATCATTTCCACGGATTTGTTATTCTGCGTATATCATTTCTGCGGACTTGATATTCTGCGTATATCATTTCTACGGACTTGATATTCTGCGTTTATCATTTCTACGGACTTGTTATTCTGCGTTTATCATTTCTACGGACTTGTTATTCTGCGTATATCATTTCTGCGGACTTGATATTCTGCGTATGTCATTTTTCGGACTTGATATTATCTGTACATTACTTTAACTTACTGAATATTCTGCTTACATTAACTCTGCGAACTTGATGTTCTGCGAACAGTATTTCCTGAGACTGGATATTTTGCATACGCCATTTCTACGGAGTTGATATCCTGTTTACATTATTATTTACTTAATATTCTGCCGGGAACCGCAGCGTCGTATTGATATATTTTAGATATATCCATTTGAGCCGCGTCACGACAAAACCAACATAAAGGGGTTGCGACCAGCATAGATCCAGACCAGCCTGAGCATCCGCGCAGTCTGATCAGGATCCATGCTGTTCGCTTACAAACCCTATTACAAGTAGAAATACTGATAGCGAACAGCATGGATCCTGATCAGACTGCGCGGATGCACAGGCTGTTCTGGACCCATGCTGGTCGCAAACCCACTATGTTGGTTTTCTCGTGACGCGACTCATTTGTAGTTTCATGTGGTATAAAGAATTAATAAAGAAATATATACCTTTAGCACTGTCATTTTTACAATAATTCTCGTAAGAGAAGTTAGCAGGCATTACGGCCAGTGACCTGTTAAAGACGTAGGCACCAGTGTCAGGACCACAGGTTGGGTCTAAATGATCTCTCAAACAGTCAATTGTACTTGAATAGTTTGGACTGAAAAGAAATACATGTTACGTAGAAAAAATGACTGTATCACGGAAATTTATTTAATGGTTTGTTTGTTTCATTTTACGCCTTTTCCAAACAGTTTTTCAGTCATATAGGCGGGTAGTTTCCTAACCATCGTTCCTGGAGAGTTACACCAGTACTAGACTACCTTCCTCCGCGCTTAACTACCAAAGCATCTCCCGGGGATCGAACCCACGCCAGAGAGGTAACTGGATTAGAAGTCATCAACTCTAACCCCTCGTCCCTCGGCGGCTATATTTCGAAAAACTTAATTACTAGAGCTAAGTGTTTAATGTGTAGGATCTATTTGGGACTTTATAGGTTCTAATAAGAAGTTTAATAAAACTTATTAGGAGAAATGATATTCATATTTCTTCTTTGTAAAACCTATTTAGAAGTTCGAAAATCAAAATTGGGTTTTTATTCTACATTTAGGATATTGTAGCTGTAGCTCAACATTAAGACTAAAAAATTCTTATTAAGATTGTATTTCTCTTGAGACATTTAGCGCAATGGCGCGACATTCAGCAGCAAGTGCGACATTTAGCGGCGTTGTAGCATATTTCAGCCCCACATACTTTAAATTTTTCGCTAATTGAAGCATTGAAAGAAAAAAACAAGAAGAAGAAGAAGAAAAAGTAGAAAAAGAATAAGAAAAAGAAGAAGAAGAATAAGAAGAAGGATAGGAAGAAGAAAGAAAACAACAACAACAACAACAACAACAACAACAATAAAACGCAACAACAAAAAGAAGAAAAAATAACACCATAAAACAACCCCAAACGGTATTTCGAATTTTTGTTTAACTTTAAAGAAATTATTTCCCCAAACTTCCGACCCAGTGTACAATATACGTACCTACAATAGAAGTCCAATAGAGCGTCCGCATCAATTGATCCACCTGTGATGTTAACCAGAGATACAAATACGTCTGTGCAATTTTTGAATACGTCATAACTGCACTTGTCATCGATAGGGGCGGGGCTTGTGGTTGTGGTCACTGTCACTCCTATTTAAATTACTTACATATAAACAATATACATGCAAATTATGATATTTATCATGATGCAATTATTTGTTTAAAGATATTTATACGGAAAAAACCAAAATAATGAGCATAATGTCACTTTTAAGGAAAAGAGGAAAGAATAGAGGCAAAAATCTATCGATACAGGGAAATTTTTTTTATATTACTTCAACTGCCACATAGTGATACCAATTAAAAGTTAATATCGATAACTGGCCGATTCAATATCATATCGATAACACAGAAATATTTTTTTTTTAAAGTCTATTATGTAAGATGCTTATTTCATACGGTTTTAAATATCAGTTCATTACGATATCGGTTTATTTCGAAATCGTTTTAATTCGAAATCGGCGAATTCGACATCAATAAAACTCAAGTGTTTCGTGTATTATATTATCAACCGTCAGAGTTATCTTCAAAACAAGCTTGCGTTTATATATAATGTTATCGAAATGACTACTTAGGTTATTTCTTTCCACTTATATAAGATACTATCATTTCCGTCCACGAATCAAATCTTATGAGTACAATATCAAAACAGCTATCATTATAATTAAATTAAGATTTTCTTTTCAATGTTAAAGGAACTCCACTGAGGTTTATAAGGCTAAAAACATAAAAGTTCATTTTTTTCACACAGATCATCACGAGCACTTAAAACAGTAATATAGATAAAAAAACCTAAGAAATATACATTGAAAATCGTTTGTTTGTGCTACTCTCAGTCCGATTTGAGTAAAAAGCGTTTAAACGCTTTTCAATTTTGGGACAGTTTTCAGTATTATAATAATTATTCTGGAAAACGGAGCGAGCTAATTATCTGAAATTTTGCACATAAGTTACTAGTATAGATTTACATCAAATGGAGTAATAATCTCAAAAATTGTTTCCAGTCCCGTCATGTCAAAAAAACATCAGTGAGTCCCTTTAAGGTTTGCTTCGCTATTTTGAAAATTGAGACGCGATTTGCCGTATTTTCACCCTGTAATTAAAATGACACCATTGATGTATTTTGTTTTCATCTACATATATTTCACTTTTAAGTGCCCCAGCTGATCGGTGTTAGAACTATAATTTTATGTTTTTAGGGTTTTTAGATCTCAGTGGAATTTCTTTCACGATGTTTTGGCAAATTTGTACATACACACGTTTATTATATACTTATGAATGAAAGATTGAGAAATATTGATGAAATAAAATGCGTATTTTTATTTTTCCGTATTTTCACTGTAAAAATTTATTTTTCACTGGTATTTTCCGTATTTTCACTGGTGTCTTGCCGGATTACTTTCTTCCAAATTCAGCTAATAAACAAAATTAAAAGGGAACTCTTCCTATTGATAGGCTAAATGAGGAAAAAAGTATATAATAAACAGAAAATTTTAGCTTTTTCCATAAATACAGGATTTATTTTCATCTTGTGGTATGAAAATTAACATATTTCACTCGTGGCTACTGCCACTCGTGAAATATTTATTTTCATACCACTCGATGAAAATAAATCCTGCATTTATAGAAGAAACTTGAATATCCCCTATATATGCTTTAATAATAATATATACTGACTTAAATATTTGTACATATATATTCGCTGGACAAAAGTTTGATATAGTACACTTTTCAGAAATTTTCAAGAAAAATGCATTTCATACGTAAGTGTATTTCATACACAAAAATAAAACAAACCTTTGACCACGAGCCAGAAACAGATGAAAATCAATGACGTCATTTTCGCCCTCATGCTCATGAATACGTTTTGCTGAATTCCACTTACTTATTTCCAACCACTTTCTTCTGCGGGGAAAAATACATTTTTATTTATAAATAATTTCTAAGGAAAACATTTTGATTTTCATGAGCATTTAGATTTTGATCTCTCTCGTGAGCGCTTTGAAACCAAACTATTTCTGTTAGGTCATGTGTCAGCAGACCGTGATTAGTTAAAGACCCATTAAGCCTCAAAAATGCAATTATCTTCTTATTTTCATCTCATTTCGGTATAACATAACACATTGAGATGTACACTGTTTTAAAACATTAAACAGAAAACACCAGTGATCTTAAAATTTGTCGTCTGCTATTTAAGCTTTGAACATATATCTGCATTCATCAAAGCCACATTTGTTTTACGTGTAAAACAATCTATAATATTAATTTCTTCTAGAATAAATCTATGTTTACATAAAATTAATCAATTTTAAGTTTCAAACCCTTTCTTGTACTTCAATCAGATTTCCCGTTTTTCCTTAGATATTTTAGACTTCTAACTAAACAATAAAGTTTTATTTATTCCGTCGCGAGACTTCGCGTTCACGATTATTATCTGTAATGAACACACATCCCTATATTGTTTGTTTTTATTTAATACACGTAGTACTCATTTGAAAAACATCCGGATCCGTATACGTGCTTTTATTTCGAAAAACAAAGTTAACTCAAAAACGTACATAAAGTTAATGTTTATATCATTTATAAGTATCATGATGTCATACTATACTTTAACGTACTACCGCAGTATTAAAGGATCTAGCAACGATAAAATGTTTGGTAGTTTAATTATGTTGGTTATCTTAAAGGGTGTTGAACGATAAATGGCAAAAATTTGAAATTATTTTTGTCCAGTAAGATTGCAGATTGCAGTATTTCAAAACAATCTGGGAAGAGCTTACCCAACCCAAAGTGTTTTGATATGTAGCATATTAACGCACTTTGGGATCAATTTCTCGATTTTGATGATACATTGGCCAAACTCATTTGCTATTTGTAATACACTTATCATTTGTACAATATTATACATTGTGAACATGTATGTGCTGCAATAAAATATGTTTAAACCAAACTGTTAGTAAACTAAATTAGTAAACTAAATTAGTAAACTAAATGGATTTTTACACACTTATTTAGGAAATTGGCTTCATTCAGACTAGTAAATCGATAGTTAAAACAAAATCTTTGACAAATTTAGTTTTGAAAATACTTTTTATTGAACACCAACCTTCATGTTCTGATGGCCACATCTGGAGATTATACAAACTAGGTTTAATGGCTTGACGAAGTGACAGTAGTATATCCAGACTGTTGGTCAGGGCCAGGTTTCATAGAAATTCCTTAGTCTGAAAGCAAGACCAAACTGAGACAATTTTGAGATTCAAAGATTATAACTTTTTTCATAGTATTAGAGAAAAACAATAGCACAATGGCAATAAAATGATTTGTCATTGTATTTGTTAATTGTTCTCAAGAAAATGAATTTAATTATAGTGCACAGTCTTTTACTGAAGGTAAAAAATTCATTGAAACGCTCTTAAGTTATTCCTAAAGTTGGATTTATGTCATAGGACTTAGGATACACTTAAGACTTTCTATGAAACGCAGCCCAGAAGATCTAGCTTATAACATTTACATTGCTCGTAATTCGGTTAAATCTAGATATGGCTTAAAAGGAATTTTTTTTGCTTTTGTGTAACAAAGGTGCTTTAATGACAGATATTAGTACATGTTATCTTTTCTTCATCGTGTTGACATATATTTTAAGATAACAGAATGATAGAAAAAAATTTGACCGTATTTAAATCAAGTGCTTAATCTTTCGGTATAATGTTTGTGGCGCCGTTATATGTCGCAACGCCGCTAAGGTGCCCTCAAACATAAACCACGACCTTACTGCGACCTGAAAACTAGTAAAATAGCATTTTTCTTTCGAAAATCGTTGGTTTTCTTTCAAATTTCTCTCGCAGACGGTCCGGGGCTCTGCAGTCTTGTGTTCCGTACGTTTTCTCTATGTCCTCAATACGACCCTTTTACGTCCATGGCGTTTCCACTGCGACTGTATTGCGTCCCCAAGGCGACCCCACGGCGATCATCGGCGACCCAGCTGCGACTGTGCTATGTTCTCTGCGTCCTGACGGCGACTCTACGACGACTATTGCGTTTGTCCGGCGACTGTCCTGCGACTGTACGACGACCCTACTACGTTCTTGCTACGTCTATAAAAACAATACTTTTTACCAGTAAATTTCATTCTGAGTCTGACCTTCAACGAGTGAAGACGTATATTTAATTACTATTAAGTTAAATCATCCATATTATTCCAAAGATGAGAGGCGGACGAGGCAAAAGAGCGAGGGTCTCTAAAGTGCTACAAGTTGACCCAGTCGCCGCTTCAGATATGCAGTTTGGTAGTGGTTCACAGTGTGTAGAAATAGCGTCGCCAAAGGTTTCCGAGCAATTTCTTGTAATTTCATCGGCGACTCTACGGCGTCCTTAGTACGAGTGTACTACGTCTATTGCGTTCTTATTGCGTCCTTACTACGATGCTGCTGCGACTATGGCGACTCCACTGCGATCCCACGGCGACCTAGCCAGGACTCAGCAAGAACGCAGAGTTTCTGCGACTGTTTTGTGCATGTTCAAAATAGTCGCCGACGGTCTGCGACCTTGTGCGTCCTTGGGTTCCTCGCTACGACCTCGCTGCGTCCCTGCTGCGTCCATGGCGACTGTGCTGCGTCCTGGGTCGTAGCAAGGTCGCAGTAAGGACGCAGTAAGGTCGCGAGGTATGTGTGAGGGCAGTTTAAATGTCGCACCATTGACACTAAATGTCGCGATCGCCGCTTAATGTCGCAAAACCATTTGACGTTAAATGTCGCAATGTTAACGTTAAATGTCGCAATGTTAACGTTAAATGTCGCACGAATTTCGCTTACCATTAAATGTCGCAACACTTCCGTTAAATGTCGCAAGATGTAATTTTATGTTGAACTCAAGTTTTATTGTTGTATCATATTAATTAAATCTGCCTACTCAATTTGAAAGCGAGTGAATTTATTATATATGGAACTGCGCTACAATTTAGGCGGCGATAACACTCATCTTGTAAATAAATGTATATTGTTTTGCGTTTGATTTTTAGCTGATCTTATGCAAGTACATATTGATAATTATACAATTGTCTACTATTTGTATGAAACTGCAAAATTGGCATTGTTCTGTTAATAGTTTAGTACAATTGTGTCTGTAAAATGGCAGAAAAAATAGGCTTCCTGAGGTGGCAGTCTGATGGCCTAGTTGACTGAGGAGGCAAATTGTCTCGCTGTCGGAAGAGGAAGCCTAAATTGCTGACGACCTGGACCTTAAGAGATTGCCTAACGCCCTGTAAGACTAACGTTGGTAGCCTAGTATCCTGAGGAGGCCGCCTAACATCCTAACAGCCTATCAATGTCAGCTTTGCAACCTGAAGTTGGCAATCTAACAGCTTAGAGTCGGCAGCCTAGTAGCTTATAGTTAGTGACTTATATTATAAATATGGAAACAATTTAAAATACAGTAAAATCACTATGAAATGTCATGCAAAAGCACATACACATGCATGATTATGGACAAAAACGCCTTTACCTTTAGGGCACTTAACTTTGTAGTCTAATAGCCTAAAGCTGGCAGTCTAGGAGCCTGGCAGCCTAACATTGGTGTCATGTTATAAAAAATGGAACGATCAAAATAATAAAACGGCAAGTTGGATTTTTCCTAAAATCTACTAGTACAAAGGGCTTCATAATTTACACATTTATTAATCAATACAATAAACATGATCATGGCAAGTAACATAATTATTGCATAAATTTTAATCAAGTTATTGCCATTTTCAGCAGTTTGAGAATGAATATCGTTAACCTACACCGGCAAGTTGGATTTATTTAAGTACTGTCTATACTTATGGCTTCACAATTTCCACACTTACTTATTTAGAAAAAGTTCATGATATTGCCATCCATTTACCCAAGTTATATTCCTTTTTTTCACTTTGAAAATAGGACCTTGTATGGTTAACCTATTTCGATAAGTTGGATTTATGTTAAAAATTTATTTAATGATATCTTCCATTTCTGGTAGGTGGATACCATTAATGGCCGTGTATTTTTTATAGAGTAAGGGGTCTCTAGTGTCAAGGTCACTGGTGTGAATTTTTTATAACATTTTTGCTCATTAAGCCTTTATTGTTAAGATTATGTATTTCATGTTTAATACAAACATGCCAAGGGAGGTCCTCTTCCTTTCGGTTTAGTTGGGGGTCCTGTGGGTAAAGGCCAAAGTCACCAATGCCAAAAATAGATTTTAACATTTTTGCAGGTGTTTTAACATTATTCTTTTGAAAGATGTCTTTTATATTTGGTAGGAACATGGAATTGAGGTCTTCTCCTTTGGTTAGTTAGGTCAAGGTCACCAGTTCTAAAATAGATTTCTACACTTTTACAGCCTTTATTTATTGACAAATGTATTTCATATTTGGAAGGTAGATAACTTGCATAGTATTCTTCCTTTATATTGAGGAAGGGATCAATGGGCCATGGTCACAAATGCTAAAGTAGATTTTAATTTGCATGATGACGTTCACACAAACAGTTTATGCTTTTATCAAATTTGCTAGTCGTATGTGTGTTTTTATTTCCATTTTAACGCCAGAAAGGCAGTGGTCATTCATATTATTGTTGCAATAAATCAAAAAGATATTTTCTTTACACATCTGTTCCATTTTTTTGTTTTGAAATATAAAGTTCTTAAAATTATCTTAAAATAGATACACTATTGTGCGTATGTTTGTATTTATGGTCATTTGAACTTCACTATGACGTACTCGACATGCGCATTTTAGGACGAACATAAAAAGTGGTTACAGATATTTAACCAATCGTCGTTACATATGTACGAGTATAATTCATGTTTTGTGTTTTTCGAAAAATGTCAGATTTATTTTCATTGAAATATTTATAATGAAGCGTTACAGATTAAGATTTTCATTACAGCAAAGCAATGATGTAAAAAGCCTAAATTCTCTGGTCAAAACGGCTAGCTGTCTTCAGCCAAACAGGAAGGCCAATATGAGCTTAATCAATTATTTGTATTCTTATTATATGATATATAGTTACTGAGAATCTTTCATTGTATAAAGCGACTTGGCGAGTAAAATATCACTTGCCACAATGTCCAAGCGTAAATAGTGTTTGACAAATCGTAAAATGTACTAAATCTTGTGTACTTATTTTACCTTTGACATCCGCTTACTGTGTGTGAATTTGCGTTTATTTATACTCGCCACCGGTTGCCAATATGGGCGAATCCTCCAGAAGAGTACAAGTCATTTTAGATTTTTGAGGATAGTGCAATTACAGATATAGAAAGATGCCCCGATTCCAGAAGCTTCCCCTTCTTTAACGTGCCAAGTTGTTTTAGCACCCATACACGGGACCTCGATTTAAAGTATCATCCGAAAGACTGATCAGTAATTTTAGCTGGCCAGCCCGGGAATAGAACCAACAAGGTCGAGGTTACAAGTCTCGCGCTCTATGCGGGCTGGCTGCTTACAAAAATTCCGGTGCATATAATCGTAAAATTCGCTCTTATCTAGCACCCGACTGCGTATCGAATACTACATGATCAAGGAGTACTACATGATATTTTT